TATTTTCTACTTGTTTCCGTTATTTTGTTCATTAAGTTTTGCAGCCCTTCTATGGTATTAGAAAACACTATTGTATCATCTGCATACCGCAGGTTATTGAGCTTGACTCCATTTATTGAGATACCTTCATCAATATCTTTTAGAGCCTCTTCAAAAATGTGCTCCGAGTACAGATTAAATATCAGTGGTGAAATTATGCACCCCTGTCTCACTCCCCTTAAGATTTTAACCTGATCTGTATATTCTCCATCTATTCGCAGTACCGCTGATTGATTCCAATACAGGTTAGCTATTACTTTTAAGTATTTTCCGTCAATTCCTGTCCTCTTCAGCACTTCCATCATTTGCTCATGTCTGACTCTATCGAAAGCCTTCTTGTAGTCAATCAGCCATGCAAAAACATTACAGCTGACATCTCTACATTTCTGAAACAATATCTGCACGCAAAATAAAGTCTCCCTCGTACCAACGGCGTTCACAAACCCAAACTGATTGGGCGCAATTTGTTCCTCGCATTTCCGGTAAATTCTTTTGTGGATGACCTTTAAAAACAGCTTCAGCAGATGGCTCATTAGGCTTATGGTCCTATAATCTTCACAAACTTTTGTTCCTGTTTTTTTATGCAATGGTACGAACGCCGATTTGAGCCAATCTACTGGTATTTTTCCTGCATTGTATATTTCATTAAATATTTCAGTTATTATTTTTATTTGTTCTTCTTCTAATAGCTTTAACAGTTCTACAGGAATTTCATCAAGGCACGGTGCCTTTCCATCCTTCATTTGTCTGATGGCTGCCGTTATTTCTTCTGGTAGGATTTCGGGACCTCTAATTTCTTCAATCGTGGGCTCCTGTATTGTTCTAAGCTCATGGAAAAGCTTCTCCAAGTATTCTCCCCATACTTTCTTTTTATATTCCCTAGTTATGGCAAGATTGCCTTCATCATCTGTTATTTTTCCGCTGTTGCGTTTTCGGAACTTTCCAGCTATTTCCTTCACCTTTTGATGAACATTGAAGTTATCATATCGACTCTGATACTCCTCTATTTCCTGACATTGTTCTGTTTTTTGTTTCTCTTTGGCTTCTCTTATTTTTCTTCTGACGATGGTATGTATTCTTATATTCTTGGAGATTTTCTTTAACTTTTTTTTCTCTGATCCATGAGTACAAGTATTTCATCGGTCATCCACGATTTCCGTTTCTTGTATGATGGTTAGACTTTCCTCTATAGTTCCTGCATTTTTGCATTTTAGCACCTTTTTATTGAGGTTTTCACTCACCTTCAGTCGAACATTGGGATCTTTCAGTTTTCTAACATCATATTTTTTCATCGACTTACTTGTAACCTTCTTCATTCTGACTTTGAAATTACCTACAACTGGTACATGATCGGAATTTATGTCTGCCCCGGTATGTTTTGACATATGTACAGCTGTTCCTATACCTCTTCTTTACTAGCATGTAATCAATCTGATTTCTTACAATCTTTCCCACAGAGTCCCACTGTCCCACACAAACTGCAAATAGTCTGGAACGACCATAGAACATACAAATTGACAGATCTTGGGAAGTTGGACTACTGATTCGGGCTTCGGATTATCCTATTCGGACAACTAACTGCAATCTTCAAAACTCAGCCTCTTAAACGCCACTGCTTAAAACCATCTGGACCTCTCAAATTGTTGTAACGCTCCTTTACAAATCCCCCACATAGGGCACAACACAACAAATCGATGCATAGCTCAACAAAAACTGCAACATTGCATTTGAGCTTAAATTCACGTCTCCACAAAAAAAAATTCGCGGGCTTTCGAGGACTACACACGCCGAAATCTTTTTCCTTGAAAATCTTAATCCACACTTGACTGTTTTCTTTGTCCTGGATTTCTGACCTACCACTCCCCTTGACCAGTTCTCGCTGCTGGCCAATCGGAGTTTTTTTCGGCGACTATGAACCTTAACAGTGATAGGCTTTCAAGATTGTAAAATGAAACGTAAATATGACAATTATTTAACTACGCAGTTAAAATTTTTCTTGGATGCCTCACAGAACACCTCAGTAAACAAACTTCAAGGAATTTTTATACATATAAGCCAGGGGCGTACCAAATAAATCTTTTACAATATTCAATAGTTATAAGGAAATTATACATGCTACACGGTGCAGTCTACAAAATACAATTTTTTTTATTTTAAACAATAAGAATAACCATAATATACAAAATTAATCATAGTTTAATTTTTCTGAGATTGTTTATAAACTAGATGTCACCTGGTTCATCTTAGCTGTTTTTGACATGAAATGCCCACTTCTTTGTTGTGGCTACAGAGCACAGCACTGACTCAGCTTTTCACTAACTGCTCACGTCCTTGTTGTGGCTACAATGCATAACACTAACTAAGCCTTGCACAATTTCACACATTACACAAGCTCGAACGGTTTAGTCCTCTTGAGCCATCTCAGCTAGGGTTGGTTGAGAAAAAGTTGCTGAAGTACTTCATGGTTGGGATGCTTATGGAGCCTTTCTTCATGTCTTCTAGCGACTTTTTTGATTTGGAATAGATTCGACTTGAAGGTCTCTTCGTAAATTATCATTCCCTGCATTAAAAAATTAAAATTACATTAAAAATACAATTAATTATATTTTACATTAAAATACATACCCTGTATGTATATATATATATATATATATATATATATATATATATATATATATATATAATCGCTTTATACTTCTAAAGCTTCATCAGTTCTAACTCAATATGTAGTATTAAAGATGTTATTATATATGTACTGAAGTTTACTCATTATTTGGAACTAACTTAAAAAAAAAAAACAAACAAATAACACAAAAACTTTGCAAAAAATAATATTTATTGGCAGAGAAGAAGATTTAAAAAAAATTTAAACGTACATTTGGCTTCATTTAGAGATGGTTCTCCAATGAAGACAAAAAACACTGTGTTCGGTCTTTACAATATAATATATATATATATATATATATATATATATATATATATATATATATATATATATATATATATACTTCATCTAATTTACAAATTTACATACCGTTGCGCTTGTCATTATCTACGTCAGAGATCGAAGTTGCCAAAGTATAAAAAAATCCTGAATCCATTTTAAATCAAATAGGTCACATAATTATTGCAAAAGTGGATTATACAACAAAACAAATTAATATTAGACAGACTTATAATAATAATTAATAATACTTACTAATTTTGTTCTAAAAAGAACAGATTTTATTAAATAGGTAAATATATAAACCAAGAGGTATTCACTTTAAAATTCAAAATAATAAAGTACAAAAAGTGTCAACACCGCAACTGTCAAATAAGTGCATTTATGCCAAAATATCACCTTGGTTCGATTACAGTTACAGTATGTTCCGAACAAATGTTCTTGACAAAAACGCTTTATAATGCATTTATACAAATTACATGAAACATATTATTGTGTATTTCTTTAAGTTAACATTAATAGAAATCTTTAATATTATTTCTACGCGTATATAATAAAATATGTCTAGTGGCTGTAATGCCAGTGTACTCGGCAAAGTGATTCTAAAAAAGAACACACCTACTGCCTAAATATTTCGTGTTGGTATCATGTGACGTCACGGGCTATGACGCCGATGACGTGCATCCGTATGTGAATTAGATGAAATATATATATATATATATATATATTTGAATTGGAAGGCCATAGATATGGCGCAACAGTACCATTCGTCAAACATTCTGTGTATGAATCGATTTAATGTAATAGCACTCCCATTCAAGTGGTGAATAATTACAAACACCTGGTAGCTATGATAAATGAGAAAAGTGATCAAAGTATCGAGATCAAAAGACGTATTGAAATTGCTATTAATTACGTACTGAAATTTTCATCAAATTGAAGAAACTATTTGATAATATTGATACCAGATACCAGATCAACCTGAAATAATACTTATTATATATAACGAAGAGAAAATTTGAGTACTTGAGTCATGTTATGCGGGGACAAAAGACACATTTCTACATAATATAATGCAGGAAAAGATTGAAGGACGAAGGAATCCGGGCTGAAGAAGAAAGACGGCGAAAGACTAGTACTAAAAACAAGGTTGGCCGACCGGTGATTGAGCTGGGATGAGCAATTTGAGCAGAAGCAGAAAAATGGAGCATACAATGGAACGAGACCAGCATGAAAAAATTAAATTAGAGAAACATCACAACAATATAATGATAAAAGTATTCAAATGATAAAAATTCTACTACTACAACAATTTGACAAGGGCAACAACTTTTTGGAAAAATAAACTCTTTATATTTATAATGTTCTAAGAGAATACAAATAATTCCTTTTTACATAAGGCTTTATATATATATATATATATATATATATATATATATATATATATATATATATACATATATATATTCTTACATTTCAAGTGTGACTAAATGGGTTCCTTCCGGGTAGTGGTAAACTATCGTATTTACTTCCTAGGAGAGCCCTCTTGAGTCTGATATCTTTTGGTTTTTATTAAAACAAAGACCTTTGTTTTGTGGACTGATGATGGGGCATATATTGCAAGCCGCGAAACCGGTAGCCTACAATTTTATTACAATAAAAACTACTTAAGATTGTGAGAATAGGCTATCTTCCATACACCAATAAATTTTTCATTATAAATCTAGTAAATTATAAATGTATGGAAAATATTGTAAGTATTGCAATGGATTGTGAAATTTAGTTAAATTAACTCTGCTCCTAACGGTACATTTGGTTTATTGAATAAATAAATAGTAAATCCTAAATGTCATGTATTTGCAATTTGTAAATCCCTGAATTATCTGCCATCGTCATTTAAATATAAATTTAACAACCTACTCCAATTACGATATTTTTACGGAATTGGTATTATTGTGTACATTTTTTAAATTTTAGAATATGTCAAATCTTTATACCTATTATTAATCTTTTCTAGGCTGCCACTTGGAATTTTTATTTGAAAATGAATTTTCCGATCATATTATTATAGCACATAAGAAGAAACATTTTCTGATTTGTGGCCATGATTCTTGTTCTCGTCAAGTAAAACCAGCAGACATCTCAAGGCACTGGTCAGTGTGGCATAATGTGTCTGTGTATCAATGCAGTTATTGTCAAAGTAACACGAATGAACTCGATACGATGAACTATCATTTATCGATTGCACATCCAAATGTTAATCCAGAAATACTCGTTAGAATTCTGAGTCCCAAAATGGTAAGTTTTTATAAATATAATTGATTTTAATATTGTCGTAATATATCGTAAAAGGTTATATATTTGTACCACTTTACTATAGAAAAATCCTATCTCGTGTCTTTCAAATTTTTCTTATCCAATTTTAGCGATTACTTTTTTGTTGATTGTAATGATTTGCTACGTGATTTTCTTCTTTCTTTCCACTTTGATATTATAGTAGAATAGGCTTTTCATTCGATACCACGTTAGAATAGAAATACTGGTGTGCACGAGATTATTAAGTCGGGAACAAATCTTATTTGATCATTTTCTTGGACCCATCAAGGAAGGAAAATTTATTGAAAACGTTCATCTTCATAACTTTGCTTAATAAGCCACAGAACGAGATCAACAGTACATTAAACTCTATCATTAATAATAAAATATTGAAATGGGTCTGTCTCTATATACTTTGAATTGCAGTGTTGGTGGTAACATAAAGGAAAATGTTGCATAACATCGTGACAACTAAATGTTCGAACAATTCAAGAAATGTCTACTTTAATATGGGGTTACATCGCCACACGCCTTTACAATCGCGGTGATTATGTCTGGTATTGTTCGTATTAAGGATTTACACATCAGGGTCGAATCTATCACATAATACACCTAATTTACTCTTTAATTTGGTGACGTTTCTCTGGGGATCATTACGTAATTTGTGTTTCATCCTATGCCACAATGCCTCAATAAAATTAAGGTTTGGACTGTTCAAAGGCCATGAAAGCATTTTAATGTTATTGTCTCCAAACCATTTTTTAGCTGTTTAGCTGTCTGGCAAGCAGCACAGTCCTGCTGGAATATAAAATTCAAGTCTGGGTAGAGATCGTGAGCACTTGGTAAAAGACTATTTTTGCAGTCTAGTTTTGCTCAAGGAGTTAAGGTCGGGTGAGCAAGCAGGTCACCAGGGAATAGTAATATCTTCTACTTCAAGGAAGTCTGTACTGACCCTGCTGGTATGTGGAGGTGCATTATCATGCATGAAAATTAAATATTTTCTACTGTACTTTTTTAGAGTCTAGAACCAAACCAATATACCCGTGAGCTATTAAAGTTAGTTAAATGGAAATTAAAGGAGTTTTTTCACCGACCATATTACTTCCCCAGAACACTTCTTCCTTTATGTCTGTAAACAGATCTGGCTGTTTCAGTTTTCGCTTGTCTTCCTCGCCCTCTAAGTACACGAATTCTTCAGTTATATGATTTAACACAAATACTGGTTTCGTCTGAAAATAGCACATTTTGCCAATTTCCAATATTCCAGTTTTGGTATTGAAAACACCCATTTAGGCGATCAATCTTGTGCTGCCTGGTTAACTCGGGAATCCCTAACTAACTGTCTATTTCTGTATAGTCTTTAGACACGAAGTCTTTTCTTATTAGTTTCAACTGAAACACACCTATACCTTCTAAAAGCTGATTTTTTAGTTGCGGGTGAGACAGTGTTGGATCTCTACTAGCTACCTGGATAATAAAAAGATCGTGCAAGTTGTTGTTACTTTTTGGAGACTTTATCTTTGTCCTAAGTTCTCAAATATGAATTATGTCAAGATTCTCTAAAACGTCTAATTTCCCTGTATAAATGTTTTTTGTTTGAACTGTATATTTAATATTTTATTTTTCTAGTCACATTACGTGTTTTATACACCTGAAGCATTTTCTAAATTAAGAAAAATCGTTGATGTACCCAATATACCATCAGAGAATACAGACACAAGAGCAAAATCTCTAAATGAACCAAATTTGGTAGTGTCTTCACCTCAAAATAGTTCAACGATGGAATCAAATAATAATTCGGTCAGTGCTAATACATCAACGTTATTATCAACACCTACTACATTAAAAATTGTAAGTATTTTGTTTATTTTATAAAGTTTTCGTAACAAATCAAAGCTTGTAACAGTAAAACACTGAAAACTTTGTTCTCAAAACTTCCACAAACATTTATTATATAATCTTATCACTACAGCTGTTTCGGCTGATTGCCTTTCTCAAGTGATCTATTTTTGACATGCGTTTACATTTTATAGTCTTTAATGAAATAGGTTGAGGAGAGCTTGTGTGTCTCAAGTTGGTCATTCAGAATTATATCTGTGTTTTTTAATTTGTTAATTTCCATAGATTCTAACAAAGATAGCTTAAGGCCTTTATTTTGAATGTGAAGAATTTTAAATTCGTCATTAAAAGAATGATTATGATCTAGAAGGTGAAGTGCGTATGTAGAATCTGTTTTTTTTTTATTATTGAAAGCCCTTTTTTCTTCTGCTATTCGTTTATTAAAATTTCTACCACGTTGACCAATGTGAGTTCTTGGACAGTCGCCACATTTAAGTTTGTGTACACCACTGTGTAAGTGCTTTTTATTTTGGCTCTTGTTGTTTTAATATATTTGCCTTAGTTGTTATTTGTTCTGAAAGCTGGTGTTTGTGTAGTTTTTTATTTAAAATTTTATTAATCCTTTGTTCGTTGTATCCATTTTTTACTGCTATTTACTTAATTATAAGGCCTTAAGCTATCTTTGTTAGAATATATGGAAATTAACAAATTAAAAAACACAGATATAATTCTGAATGACTAACTTAAGACAAACAGTTCTCCCCTCCTCAACCTATTCCATTGAAGACTATGTAAATGTTAAATGTAAACGCATGCCAAAAATAGATCACTTGAGAAAGGCAATCAGCCGAAACAGCTGTAGTGATAAGATTATATACTAAATTTTTGTGGAAGTGTTGAAAACAAAGTTTTCAGAGTTTTATTGTTACATAAAATAAATTTCCATCAAGTAACGGTCGAATCCATCAATTAAATCAAAGCTTCCTTGATAGAATCTGATATCGAAATAGAGATCTAAAAAAGATACATGTATCATGTATTGTAAGGCGATTAACCGTAATATCGCCTGTCCAGTAGCTAGAAATATTACAAAAATTAGTCATCTGTATAGACATTTTGTTGATCGAGTGTTTAATATACCCTTCTGCTAAGGAGGGTAGGTAAATATTTTGAACATATTTTTAAGATCATTTTTTGAAAAATTGTTTAATATAAATGTATTAAAAAAGAGTACAAAAATAAGATACAAATATTAAAAATTATAAAAAGAAAATGACAGCTAATTTGCCAAGATGAAAAAAAAAAGTATTACTTTTCGGTGTTCATCATAACTTCTAACTGGATCATCTTTTGACAAAAAACCAAAAATATTTCTTTAGTTTATGAGTTTCTCTAGGTCGCAACATCGAGATATCGTTCAATTTATCGTTTTTTCAAATTTTAGAAGTAAACAGACACAATTTTTTTGAATTTCCGAAAAATTTTTGTTTTTGTCAAATTACTCAAAAAATTTGACTTATTTGATATTGTAAAATTAATTATAACAACAAATTGAATAATATCTCGATGTTGCGACATAGTAATTTATCTTTAAAAGAAGTGTGCAACATTTGAGAATGCTCGTAGTGAAGTAGGTTTTGAGATAAAGTAAACACCGACTTTAAAAAAATTATTTCGCGTTTAAAAAAAGCTTTTTTTTATACTCACATGTATCGTTTATTTGAAGCCCATATAGCGATGTCCCCCTTGCTAAAATATCTAGATCATCCTTTTGCTCCTGCTTCGACGAACTCTGCCTTTTTTGCGTCAGCAGCCATTTTATCTGCTCTAGTAATTAGATTGTTATCTGCTGCGAGTGCTTAATTATGAGAACTTGATACTGTATTTATTAAAATTTCTATGTGAGTGTTCACTCAACTAACTCTTTCATCTTACTCACTCATCCAGCTCACTCACTCAACTCACTCTCACTCACCTTACTTATCTCACTTACTCACTTCATTCACTCACATCTCTCATTCACCTTATTCACTCACCTTACTTATCTCACTTACTCACTTCATTCACTCACATCTCCCATTCACCTTATTCACTCACCTCACTTCTAAATGCTTATAAATAACTTAAAGAGTTATACTATCGAATTAAAAAATTTTAAAAAACGCAAAAAATACCCTACCCCCTTAAAGATTTCCACCCCCTATATCGTTTAAATAATACTGAGGTCACCACTATCATTAACTAGCATTTACCAGTTATCGAAATTAATGGCAGGTGTAATTACCTGTAATTGGCAATTTTAAATATTCTACAATCTTTTTAGGAACGTTGTCTATTTTGTTCACTTCTACTACTAACATGAACTTGTATTTTTTTAATTATTAATTGCAGAAAGAACCACCATGTAAAAAGTATAACAACCTGAAATAAATTATTCGGTTAAAAATAAACTATAGGTTATTCCACGAATATACGATGTTTGGAATTATTGCTACAATGAATATTTTACTGTACAAGTAGAAGTATGAAAGTAAATTGGTCTAATTATTATTCCATAAAAAAGGATCTTCTGTTACTATGACATATAAACGAAAATTATTTCAGTTAGTAGATGTTCAGATAGACACAAAATTTATTGTGAAAATTAATCCGAAAATAACAAAAAAATTTACGTAAACTCTCCTACAAATAAATACAATGACCTCTATGAAGTTAAAATGTGTTCATCAGCCATTTGGGTTGGATTTCGGTGAAATGTAAACACCAAAGAGGCGCGCCGGGTATCTTTATTACTTTATTAGGTAAAGAATCTAGTATTCCACTTTGTTAGTTTTTTGTTTGCTTTGAGTGGATATACTCTTAAAAGTTCCGAAAGTAACGGGTATAACATGGCGGCTATGGATAGTTAAAGTACCGAGTCATTACAGATATTAAAAAGTAACGAAAATTTACATACAGTTTCATAAATCGCCGACTGATTTTAGTTTTAAAAACAGTCCGGACAGAGGTGGCCGGTGAAGAGACGTGTCCGTTAAGAGAGAGCTTAGTGTAGTGTATTTGTTTGTAATGGTGATTAGGAGAATAAGAGTAAGAGTAAGTTTTTTTGTTTTTTTTTAATACTAATTGAATATTCGACTAAATAAATTAAACTATTTAATCACTTAAGTATTGTTACACTTCGTTTCAATCACTTAATTCAAAAACCAACTTGTTTACAATACTAAAGTCAATGAGAGTAATTATACGAGTATACTTCAAAATCTGAATTACAACTATTCTATAAACTATCAATTCTATATTTAGATCATAACTTCATATTTAAATCTAAGGTGTATATCTGTCATAACAGTATTTTAAAAATGGGGAGAATTTACCATTGTACAATTCAGCACATTGGACCATTTAAGTCGACACCTTAAAGCGAATTTAAAACAGTCGTATATTCGTGGAATGGAGTATACTAATAATTATAAACTAATAATCACCAGTTACATGATAAAGTTTGTCTCCTTCATTGTACTCTCCTTGTCGATACTTACAACCTTCCATTGTTGAAACCAGTGGTGGCAATCCGTTTTTGCCAGCTGTTGGATAACCTCTGTCGTTTCTACTTTCGCTGCTCCTATACTTTCAAATCTTATGCTCTTGTAGCGGGTTTTTCCAATTAAAAAAAAACAACTTGAAGTTAACTCATTCTTCCATCTAAACATTCTACATTATTTTAACCAGACTAGTGCAAGAACTTGAATAAACGTTTGCTATAGCGTTAGCGAAACAGCCGCGTACAATCGTGCCTATCCAGTTCGAGGTCGGGAAATATTTTTGATAAATGTAATTACATTGCTTGGGTCTACATTTTTTTATGAAGGTCATCTTTCTGTTATTTCAAAAATGCTTTTAGTTTTGGATAATCGGCAATGTTTACGTCCTTTTTATCACTTAGCATATTTTTCAGCATAGAAAAAAGGACCGCAATAAGAACGGTTTAAACTGACCCTTATCTGTAAAGATCGTCTTCATACCTGATTTTGACTTTTCAGGCAAGAGTTTACAGGGCGCAGCTGTATTTTAATCGAATATATTCATGGAGTATAAACCTCCAATCAACATTCTCAAAGTCACTCATTGTTATTTACTTTTGAAAAGATATGAATGCACGGACAAAATGTTTTTAAAATTGAATTTAACAGCCTTATTCCAAAGTAAAACCAACAGATCATCAAAATATTGAACAAAATCGAAACGAACTATCAATATACCACATGTTTTTAATTATTGTTTTTAATATGTATTATTCGTTATAGATATCCAATTCTTCAACGCCATTAACAAATTCTTCGAATATTAGCTCGTTGATAGAATTGTCATTGCCAATAAGCCCAGTTGATAAACCATTACATAGGACAGAACTAGAAGAAACCTCATCATCATCAAATCAGAAATCTTCTCCATGTGGTCTACTCGATTACCAATTATTTAAATGTGCAACTTGTATGTTAGCATTTTCTACCCTAAAAGCGTTTAAGAAACATGTTACTAAATCTGAAGAATGTAAAAATAAGGATAATATAAACAAGCCATTTGTATGCGTGCATTGCAATAAGTCATATAAAAACTGTAATACACTTTGTGTACATATACAGTATCATGGTGTTTCAAGATATTCGTGTTCTGTTTGTGGAAATAAGTTTCATACTTTTAGACAAGGACGGTAAGTACCTGCATTATTGCGGTTTTATTTTAAGGTATATTTACATAAATATAAAGATAGAATGGCTGCATTCTGCATGGCAATATTTTATAAATAATGAATTATATTCTCAACATCATGAATTATAATATGTACTTACTAAGTGAAAACTAATATTTATCATTCTGTAGGGCGCAGCTAATTTGCTAAAAATAAAGTATTATTTACTTCACCATGTTTACAAAAACCCCCGCTTTGATATGTATCTCGTAGTAGCTTCCTGTTTCTTAGTGTCTTCCTTCTTCCTTACATAGTCTTCCTCCTTTTGAGATTGTTTACTATTTGATTAAATCAGAAAACCTCTATTATATTAGTTCATTTACAGTTATTTATAGTTCACATGTTACTAAAAATAGAGTACAATATAATATCATTTTCGATGTCAATGATAATACCATCACATTTATATCATATATTCTAAGAAAAGTATCCTATCAAACCTGCATAGTGCATAACAATCAGTCAGTTGATCTTGGTACTGGTGAGAAATATGAACCAGAAGTAATATCCATATAACCAATAAGTATATAACCAATTGCTTGGTGCTTGGTCAACGGACTTGACGACCTAGAAAGACAATTGGTATGCGGTTACACCTCAAACGAAAGTTGAATAGACTGATAACCAAAAATATGATAAGCTGCAGAAAACACTCAAAAGACGAAGATATGAAACTGGTATAAGAGGACTATCTAACTATGAATGTAAAAGTCCAATTGGCTGCCTTTTACTAATTTTTATGTATCCTCCATGCTATTAAAGTATAGAAGGACAAATATCATCTTATGAATGATGGAAAACAGGTACATAAGTAACATAATTAACTATTTCTCGTTAAAATTAATAAACAGTTTCTGAAACTGTTTTCTTCTAGCATGTTAAGTTAAATATTTGTTAATATAATAATAATAATAATACTATTAAAATTAATTAACGAATTCTGTAATTAAAGATTTAATTTTATTAAATAAATATTTATAACGGTTTTGTTACTGCTTCGGTGTTTTTAAAACTTGAAAAAGTTTCATAGATATCAGTTCTTTTTTATCAGAATAAAAATTCGCATAATTACTGCACCTCTGTTGAAAAAAATCTTTCTACCCAATTGTTACTTTATAAGTTTCAGTAATTTCTTAATAACCTGTGGTATGCAGATGATACAATAGTGGTTTCCAATACCATAGAAAGGCTGCAAAACTTAATGAACAAAATAACGGAAACATGTAGAAAATATGGACTGGATATAAACACCAGCAAAACCAAGCTAATGATCATCAGCAAGGAAAACATAACTGGAGCAAATCTGTATGTGAACCAAATGAGAATTGAACGAGTCTCACAATACAACTACTTGGGAACTATAATCAATGAGTCATGGGACAATACCCAAGAGATTAAGAGCCATGACCTCACCCTAGAAACAAAAATAAGGCTCGTTAAATGTTATGTGTATTCAGTGATTCTGTACGGAGTACAAACGTGGACATTGACGGCGGAAACTCTATCAAAACTTCAGGCTTTTGAGCTATTGTCATACAGAAGGATCTTGAAAATACCATGGACAGACAAAGTCACCAATGAAGAAGTACTGCGGAGGATGAACACAACTGCGGATTTGGTCAACATCATGAAGGGCCGTAAGCTGCTGTACTTGGGCCATATAATGAGAAATCAAGGCAGATACTAGCTACTTCAATGCATTTTACAAGGCAAAATTGAAGGAAAAAGGGCCCCAAGACGAAGAAGAATATCCTGGCTTGCTAACCTTTTTTTTTGGACTGAGGTGGAAAGGTTCTAAACTGACTAGGGAAGATGTCCCTAGTACTGTTGGATTCGATCCGGAAAGGAGCACATGCTAGGACATAGCATCCAAAGTATGGATTATATGCGCCACATGCACCCCTGACCAGTCGCCTACCAACTAAAAACCACCCCTTCTTCGGACAAGGCACCCCCGGACAAGTTCAATCGGTGAACGAAACATTGAGATGCCTTGTGCAGTCTGAAAATTTGGGAGAAAATTGTAAAAGGGTTCTTACCTAAAAACGATAAGAAGAATTTAAAATGGTATGCAGAGACGGTATTGTGGGGAAACAAAATATTGGGTCCTAAAAGGTGCAGCCTGACAAGGAAGGATTAGCCTGGCTTGCTAACCTGAGAGCATGGTATAGAAAGACCTCAACACAGCTATTTCGTATAGCAACCAACAAAGTCATCATAGCCAGAATGATCACCAACGTTCGTAACGGGCAGGTACCCTAAGAAGTTTCAAGCACCTTATGATAGGGGAAAGATATGTAAGATAAATAATGTTGGGAGATGTATATGTTTACTATTCATTTAACAACCAAACAAAAAAGCGAGTATATAGTTGTAGTAAAATATTACACAGTATTATACTATACAACATGTTTAAAGATGCCCTCTCTCCCAACATATTTAAGTAGAATTATGTCACAGCTAATTCTGCATGTAAAAGCTCGTTTTAAGTTATTTTTAATGACTATATAACTATTAGTTTTGGTACAAAAACCTGAAATTAGTGATTTTAATTATAAACAGTTACTTCATCTTGTGTTCGCAAGCCTACTACCTCCTTTACAAGCTTGTTTCAATCTCTTGAGTACATGGTTGAAAAACTATCCGCCATTTTTAATGTCTTCGTAACAGAAGCTCTTCAAACACCATGAGCAGATAAGTTACTCAGTTTTACTCAGTACTGCAGTCCTTTTAGCGCATGGCTGTCTAATCTACATTTTGCTATGTTCTTGACCGGGTATATTTTCCCACTAAGAGTTAGGTTTTGTTCGGATCCAGCCTTTTTTGCCTGTCACGGTCGTTGCTTTTTGCTACTCCTACTTTTTGACGCTGGAATGAAGTATTTTATAGCAGATCCTCTTCTGGCAAGTTCATCAACTCTTTCATTGTCATATATTCCGCTGTGATCTGGAACTCATACCAGTGTGACTGTTATATTTCGTCAGTCTGCGAATTCTTCTCGGCCTTCGCACACCTCTTGTTAATATCTCTTGCACAATGCAAGATTACATAAATCTGTGCCTGGAATAGAGAAGTGTACTCTCGTATTGGACTAGAAATGTTTTTTCTACAGCCTTCTTCAATTTTAGACTCGCCTGTCTAGCAGAAATACGTAGCCTGCATTCTGTGTTTTCCCTACCTCATCCTTCTCGTGGGTATATGTTAACTTTGAAAAGCTGTAGGTTTGTATCTAGATATTATGTGGTCAGTTCAATTCGGTATCTCTGATTTCATTTGTTTATATCAATCTTGTTTTGCTTGCAAAATGTATTTTTTGGTTTTTAAACTAGAAACCCTTATGACAATCATGTGTCATCTGTTATTATCAATCTTTTGTTTGTTAGATTTAAAATGTTTATTTAAAAAGTATGTTAGTCGACGATTACATCAGATAGGAATACTTATATTTTTTCTAGCCAAAAAAATTACTAAAAATTCAGTGAAATCAGAGGCTTCTACGACCAGAATCAAAATTAACTAGTCGTCTTCTGGGTTTAGACCGCATCTCCACGTTTTATTTTTGGATACATTGAATATTTGACTTATTACGCGTGAATCACTCCGTGGTTCTTGGTTTTCGCCTTTGGGTATGTTGAATACTTAAATTACCGTGGCTACCATCATGTACTTACTCAAGAATAAGCAAAGGATAGCGACTTGTTAAAACGTATACATAAATGGTCCACAATGGGCATGGTCAAAATCCAGAGAACAAGTCTAGGAGTGGAGAATAGTGTAGGATACTTTTAAACGTCTCAAATATATTAATTAATAGCGTTTTTGAATGCTTCATCCATTTATACGCATGTTTACTAACAGTTTTAAAAACATTATTTATTTAAACTTTTACGATAATATATACAAATGAGGATATGTACTAATGTGCAATTTGTTTTGCCTAGAGGTCATATGAAACGTCGACATAATGTAAGTGACACTACACAAATTGTGGTAAATTCTGCTTCAGCTTCAAATGGCGAAAAATATATCATTGAACGAAAGCAATTAAAAGCAGATCAACATGTTTACAAACCTGAAGATATTGGTAAAATTCCTTTGCAGTCGATATTCAGCACAAATTTGAGGTATGTATGTATAGTGTGAGCCCAGTATTAACAACAAATATAAACTATTGTTTATATTTGATCAATGGGATTGCTAATTATACCATAGGAATGTCAAACTTAATTACAAAACGTTGGAAGTTATCAAAATGTCACCAAAAAGATGTTTTTGGCATTACTAATCTAAATTAATTTTTATTTGGAAAATTCGTCAAATTTTCTATTTTAATTCTTTTTTTATTTTATTATAATCTGAATCCATCGATATTTTTCTGTTTCCATATTACACAGACCCGTAGACACTACTTTTTTTAATGAACCGGTTCTTTTTTTGCTTTTTAAACCTCATAAAAATTTAACCTTTCCGTTTGCATTTACCAAAGTGGTGATACTTATTTCAGGTTATACACTGATGATGAATTTTTTAGTCCGAAAACTTTCTTTGGTGTAGCCCGAAAAGTTTTCGATTATTTAATGAAATGCATAATCTTAACGATCACATTCCTTGAGAATTATCTCAATATCAGGCATTTCATTGACAGAAATAAGTGTTTCCTTGCAGGTGGTAAACTCGTTTCTTGCATAAAATTTGTTTAAAGTACCATGCTTGGTGCCTAGCTTATATAGCCTTTCATGTTTAACAGAAGTAATAATGGCAATAATATTTCGGCTATCGGCCTTAGATCTATCAACTTCTGGAATTGGTACTCTAACACTTTGACCCACTTGTGCAACAAGGAATTTATCGTTAGAATGTTTTAACATTCTGTCACCTTGTTTTACAAGTAACTGTTAAGCAAGATCTCGAATCTCTTAAATTTTTTGAAGTTTTGTTGATTGCAGTACCATCTTCGCCCCCCTCATTTTCTTTAACTCTAATACTGGTATTATCTTCAATTGGGCTGTTAGTGTTATCAACTAGATCTTCAATATTCGCTAACTGTGAATCATTGGTTGTATTGTAGACATCCACATTACCAGGGTGCTTTGCTCGATCATTAGCATCATTAGACTGATCCGCTAATATTGCTTCTAAATCTGCTTCGCTTCTGATTTCGGATAAAGTACTAGCAGGTAAGGATTTTTTAATCCTACTTTAGCCTTACAACCGAATAGCGCTTCGTATGGACTAACATTAATGCCGAAATGGTAAGCTCTATTTTTCATAAATTGGATGAACTTTATGCATTTCGACCATTGATTTATTTTGTTTGTTTCCAGCCATGTGGCCAACATTTTTTCGATATCTTGATCCGCTCTCTCTCTCTCTCTCTCTCTCTCTCTCTCTCTCTCTCTCTCTCTCTCTTTCTCTCTCTCTCTCTCTCTACCGAAGCTTGTGACTGGCTGTGTCTGGGTTTTCCGTAAATAATTTTCAGTTCGTCCCACATACTGCAGACTTCTTCAATAACCTTGTTTGCGAATTCTCGACCATTATCACTGTGTAAAATGTGTGGAGCTCCAAGTATGGTGAACACATCCAACAAATGGTAGGCAACTTCTTGGGCACGC